GTCTGAGGAAATGGTCTCCCCCTTGCCTGCCTTCCCTCGGGGAGAGGGAGGGAGCAGGTGCTGGCAGAGGAGGCAGCGACTGGCCTCAGGTAGGGCAGGCGGTTCTGAGGACACGTGGCAGTGCGGGGCGCGGGATGGCCCTGTGTGCGATGCCCTCTGACATCACACGCTGCTGGCTGCATCCCAGCGGCCATCTGTCCCACTTCCAAGGGGCCAGGCGCGGAGGAGGGCGTCCCCAAGGCCAGTTTCTGGCTCACTGCAGACCCCGCAGGGATGGCCACCCTCTGCACCTGTGGACCTCCAAGGCACTCAGTGTGGGCCGTCCTCGGGGCTGGGCCCCTCAGGAAGGCTGAGCTCCCACGCTAGCCTCAGGAGCCACTTCCTCCCCGCGTCCTACTCTCGCCTGCCTGGTGTGAGTTAGGGCTGTGGGCTCCCCGGGGCTGGGCTGAGTCTCCTGTCTTTCCTCCCCCAAGCTGGCAGTGGCTCTGGCTGCCCCACAGCTGTAGCCAGTCGGGCCACGCCCCGGGTCCTCTGAGCAGCTGGGTGGAGGACAGGTGCCCTGGTCTCGGACTGGGCATGCAGCTGCTCACTCCTGGAACCTGCTGGAAGTCTGTCCCTGGCTCCACCCCCGGAGCCTTAGTGCAGAGACCCAGGAAGGCCCAAAGTCTGCCCCAGGGACCTACACTTGGAGGGGCCTGACTCAGCTCCTTCATTTTGTTTTCTAACATCCCCGTTTTCTAGAAAACCAGTGCACACTGTGACGCGGGTTTGTGCGCTGTGCCTGGGGCCCCTCGGGACAGCCAGCGGGGGCACACCGGACGGGCATGTCGCTCAGGAGCCCTCTCCTGGCTGTGGCTGACCATGGGGAGGCCAGAAGGGCACCAGGAGCAGGCTTTCAGGCTGGCTGCAGCCCGAGAAGGTGACAGCAAAGACCACCCACCTCCCTGTGCGGCAGGCGGCCAGGGCTGTGGGTGGGAGAGGAACAGCATGAGGGCCTGGTCCTGCCTGGGAAGTTCAGAGAAGACTCCCAAACCAGGTCCCGGGCCTTGAGACCCACCCGCCACAGGTGCAAACCGTCAGGAGCCATCGTCACTCAGTGGGGGCTAGGAGGGTGGGAGGGACATGTGCAGCGCCCAGCTTCATAACGACAGCGTTCCCTGGGTGTGTAGCACTGGCGGGATGCAGGCTTGGGAAGGGGGCCCACAGCCATGTGGTCAGGCGCGTCTGGGCCTGCAGTGTGGGCCTGAAGGCAGAGACAGCTGGCGGAGGAACTGCTCTGCTAGTTAAGCCTGTGGGCACGCCCAGGAGGGGTGGCAGGCGACTGATGGCCCAGGGGCAAGCTGACCCATGGCCCTACAAGCACAGGGTCCTGTGCACAGGAGGCTAGTGGTGGAAGGAGCCAGGAGGAGGCGGGGCTGGGCCTGGGAGGGCAGGCCGGGCTGGGAGGCGGCAGGCTTGCGAGACAGAGTGTACGGGTAAATGGCCAGGCCGGGGAAGACAGCCAGTGCTTGAGCACGCCGGGCAGGCTTGTCCTTGACGTTGACTGACGGGGAACAGTGTTCCGGGCAGAGACAGCCAGTGCAGGAGCCCGAGATGGCACACCCGGTGTGCTCAGGATGCTGCGGGCAGGCTGGCAGTGTGTGGGGCTGACCGTGTGCACAGGCCTGGGGCCTGGAGCCCCTTGTTGCTGACTCTGGCTTCTGCTCTGAGAGAGCTGGGAAGCCGGGCCAGGGTGCTGAGATGCCCTGGTCCTCAGGGTGACGGTGAGGCAGCAGGCTGCATACCAGCAGCAGTGAGGGGAAGGCTGGCAGGGAGGCCACCGGAGGCTGTACAGGTCTCCAGGAACGCGCCCCAACGCCCCTGAAGCTGCCTCCAGAGCGGCTCCCTCTGTGAGACGGGGGTCCGAGTAATGTAGTGAGGGGTTCTCAGGACACAGCTGCCATGAACCCTGCCCCTGACACCTTGTGGCAGAGTGGGAAGGACCCCCTCTCATCTCTGGCTGTGCCATCAGCACCGGCCCTGAGGGTGGGGGCACGGACTCAGCCAGATGCCAGGCAAATGGACCCTCACAAGTCCCCTGGAGGGCCAGAGAAGGGACCGGCAGGGGCTGTTTCCTGTCTGCCAGGCAGTGGGGCATGGGCTGGCTTGGCCTTGGTGCTGTTGGAAAGCCTGGTTCCTCCCCTCTGAGGTAGGCGGGGCGTGGCTGTGCATGTGTGCATGCACGTGTGTGTGTGTGTAGTGTGTGCATGCATGTGTGTGGTGTGTGCGTGCATGTGTGTAGTATGTGCATGCATGTGTGTAGTGTGTGCACGTGCGTGTGATGTGTGCATGTACGTGTGTGTGCACGTGTGTGGTGTGTGCACGTGTGTGGTGTGCGTACACACATGTGTGTGGTGTGTACATGTGTGCGATGTGTGCACGTGTGTGGTGTGTGTGCATGTGCGTGTGTGTAGTGTGTGTAGTGTGTGTAGTGTGTGCGTGTACGGGTGTGCAAGCACGTGTGTGCACGCACGTGTGTGCACGCACGTGTGTGGGGGTGCGTGCATGCACGTGTGTGCGTGTGGTATGAGCATGCACGGGTGTGCCGTCCCACATGAACAGCCAGTGCTAGCAGCAGAGCTAGGACAGGCGTGTGTCGGTAACACAGCGTGAACCGAACCCAGGGTTCACTCTTACAAGGGACTGGGCCTTCTCCAAGGAGAGGGCTAGAGAGGGCAGGGCGTGCAGGGGCTCAGGACTCGGGGCGGGGACACGTGCAGAAGCAGGAGGGCTGCTGGGGTGAGGGGCCAGCGGTGACCCTGGTGGCGGGGGCTCCTAGGTGGACTGCCAGCGTGGGCACGGCGGACAGCACTTTCTCCACAGCCTGGGTCTCTCGGGCAGGCACTTAGGGCTGGGTCAGATGAGGGTGCAGCCTCGAGCCTTAGCAGCCGTGTTACTATTGGTTGGAATCTTTGTAGGCCAAGCTCAGACCTATTCGAGAAAGGGCCAGAGAGCCAGGCCAGAGTCTGGCCCAGCGCAAAGTCTTTGTTAGGGCTGTGGACAACTGAGTGGTGGTCAGGCCTGTCCTGCGCTGACAGGAAGGCCCCGGGCCCTTGGACAGTGCCAGCAGAGGGTCAGGCCCAGGTCTCACATCTGGGAATGCCCTCTGGACCTGCCCTAGCCAGAGGGGCCCTCAGGGCTCTGGCCTGCAGCCTCCTGCAGACAGACAGCACATGGTGTCCATGTCGTGTCACTGGGCTCTGCGTGGAGGCCCTGGGGTCTGCAGGAAGGGTTCCAGGTCCTGTGGGAGTGTGCTGTGGAGAATACTGGGCCCAAGTGCTGACATGACCTCAGCCAGAGAAGTGCCAAGCTTCCATCATCCCGGGATTTGGGAGCACATTCAAAATACTGGCTACTGAGCCAGCAGCTGGCGTGGAGGTGAAGGTGCTAGACCCCACATGGCCGGCGGGGCAACCCCAATCCCTGAGAGGGGACTACAGCAGGGATTACAGAGTGTCCATCCCCCATGCAAGGTGATTTGCCTCTCTTTCTCTGGCAACCACACATGCCCTCTAGCAAAAAGTTAAGAATAATTAATTCATAAGACTAGCTATCTTACCAACAGGGTGAAGCCCCTTTCCAGCATCACAGGGGCCCAGCCACCTGAGAGGTGCTGGCACAAAGGAGGGGCCTTGCTTCCCAGGCAGGGAAACCAGGACCGGACAGCAGAGGGGCGGGCAGAGCAGGCAGGAAGCTGTGG